ATTGTATATCGTTGAAGACTTGAATACTTCAATTCACCAACTTCACAATTTTTCACAAATTGCAATAATAAAGTAAGCAATTATAGAAGAAAATTAGAGAGAGATTGATGATTTTGTGAGAAAAAATGAAAGAATGAGGGGGTTTTCATAGTTGAGAATAGGGAAAAAGTATAATTATAAAAAGTTTGAGGGGCAAATGGCTATTTTTTAAAAAGCCAAACAGCTAAATTGGCAGGCCAACGGCTAGTTTTTAAACTTCCAACTGTTGGCCAATTTTAAATTTTTTTTTTTGAAAAACAGCCGTTGGGCCCATTAGGCCCGGCCTAAGCCCGCCAGCCGGTCCCGGGCTAAACGGTCCCGGGCTCGCGGTCTCTCCATGCTGGACCGGCCCACAGTGGGCTCCTAGGACCGCTTGGGACCGGACCATATGGACCAGCCCGTTTAGCCCGTGGGCTCGTGGTCCCGGGCCGGTCCCGGACTGGGCCCGGACCACAATACAGCCTTATTTCTGCTTTTTCCTTACTCTCCTCTGTTTTTTTGGGTGAGATTCAAGATAGCAACTGTACCATACATTTCTCCCTCAGTCATGTACATTCCAAGGGCTTTTTTAGAAAGATTGTATTTGGTTTTTTGGACATGACTTACACGACTATTTCTAATAAAATAAGATCGTTTAATTCGCGAATAAAGTTGTGCAGAAATTAAACTACGACAATTTATACTTAATATTTCTAGAAAAAGTAAAGTACGAAAATTGTTTTTGGTGAATATTATTTCGTTACCATCTTTTGCACTAATGATAAAGATACAAATGAAATTATCTTTATATTATTAATAGATTATTTTAATTATTTTCACTTAAGATTCCTTCATATGCCAATAATGGACTTAATTTTTTTCGCTATTAAGTTATATTTATTTGTAGTAACAAGTAACCTACAATTGTGGCTCACAAGGTCTAGGTAATTGTGTTTCCAAAATTACGAGGACATTTGCTTCAAATTAGGTATTGGACCTTGAAATTTTTTATTTTACAGAAAGACCTTAACCAACTAATGAAAAAGTTAGAGAAGGAGGAATGACACGAATTAATTGACACCGCAAAATTAGAGATCAATGATTAATTAGTGATATATATTCTTACACTAATTTTTAATTGCTAAGATTATTTAATTTAATGTAAATATCGAGTTCAACAAGTATTTATCTAGTCAGATCGACTGGTAGGAATTGTCCATGCAGGAAGGTTAATTAGATTATTAGTGATGTAAAAACTTCCGTAAGCTGGTTAATCTTGAAATAAAATTTGGAGAAACAGAACTAAAAATGTTATCTAAATCGCTTGTTAAGAAATAGGTGCTTTTGAAGGAAAAGTTAAGGAAAACCAAGAAGCTGTAATCAACTTACTGGCTTGGCTTCAGTCTTCTTAATATCTTATTATTGTTACTAATTGTTGCCACTGCTGCTTTTCATTATTTCTTTAGACGAGGATCTATCGAAAATAAACTCTGTGTCCTACTATAAGGGTAGGACGGTGTAAATCTTACCTTCTCCAGACCCCACTTGTGAGAATACATTGAATTTGTTATTGTTGTAGTAGTTATAAATTAGAACAAGTTTGTGCATGATCCACAATTATCAATTATGAGTATTTATTTAAAAGTACGACTAGTATTAAATATGAAGAGGTTTTGGTTTTTCTTTTAAGATAAGAAATCCTAAATTTACTTATTTCCGGAGCTTATTTACGTGATTGATAATTAAGATCCCAAAATGACCAACAATTATATGATGAAGCATGATAATTCATTAAGGTAGTTGTGCTATATGCAAGTTTGATATGTTTATTCAACTTGTTTTCTTTCCTTTGAAGATTATATAATAATTTGTTCTAATTAAAAAAAAGTATAAGTTGACCGAAAACCAACCCAAATAAGTTCAAGATATTAACCACCTTTTCAACTGGATTCTAAATTTCTCTTCCTCAAACACCATAACTCTACTTTTTTGTTCTTTCTCTTTTCCTACTTTAGGCATTGAACTTAATATCACAATCAAAGACTAATCAGAATAAATTTACTAAAAGAGGAAATTATTTTTTTCCTGAACATTTTTTCATTTATGCTCCAACTTTTTAACACCTAGAGACAAATTTAATATGTGTTTAAGAGTGTGACACGAGTACTTTGGGTGAAATTATATATGAAATTATAATAAGTATTCCTTTATTCTTCATAAGTAATCTCGAATTTAAGTTTCTCAAGTTGTCTTTGGTAAGAATACTTTACTTTATAAAGTAAGACTTTTCGGAACGAGTCTCAAAATAAATATTGGGACACCAGAAATAAAAAAAATTCAACTCAAGACCCAATTCATGAGAACAGGGGGAGGGGGGATTTGCAGCCGTACCCTATATTTGTGTCACCTTTTAACCTGTACCCTATTTTAAAAATTATTAATTTGATAGCCAGATGCAAAAAATCCGTAATAAAATGATAATTATACTCCTAACAAAAGATATAAAACCTGCATCACGCATTAATCGCGTGATCTACAACCTCATTCGTAAACAAAATATCTCCTCCTCTCTTCTCAGCAGCTTTATAAAAAAAACAGAAACTTGAACCACATTCATCTTCAGAATCACACTTGGATGAAGTTGTTTGACAGATATAGCATGCAGTTTTCACTTATAGATCTTCAAAAACTTTTCAAAATTTCAAATTTAATGCGTGAAGGATATAGAAAAAAGTTGTTTCACGTTGAAGTATGAAGTTTTAATCAAATACAAGCTAAAACTTAATGCTAATGTTGCATGAAGTTGTTTCACGTTGAAGCTAAAACTTCATGCTAATGTAGCATGAAGTTGTTTCACTAAAGCTAAAACTTCATGCTAATATAGCATGAAATTGTTTCACATTGAAGCTAAACTTCATGCTAATGCATGCGGAAGTTATTTAGTTCATTTACTAAAACTTCATACCAACACATGCTGAAGTCTACAGTTTTGTCATAAGTTTTATCCGAAACTTTAGTCTAAACATGATGAAGTTTTTTTAGTTCATTTGCTAAAATTTCAGACTAAATATGATTAAATTTTTGTCCTGCAGTATGTAATTTTCTAATGAGTGTTTGCTAGTGCATGCTGAAGTTATTTAGTTCACTTGCTAAAGCTTCATACCAAAACGTGCTGAAGTTTTGTCCTGCAGTCTACAGTTTTGTCATGAGTTTTATCCGAAACTTCAGTCTAAATAAGCTGAAGTATTTTAGTTCATTTGCTAACACTTCCGACTAAACATGCTTAAGTTTTTGTCTTGAAGTATGTAATTTTCTAATGAGTTTGTCCTGCAGTCTGCAGTTTTGTCATGAGTTTTATTTAGTTCATTTGCTAAGATTTCATATCAATGCAGTTTTGTCATGAGTTTTATCCGAAAATTCGATCTATTTTGTTGAAAATAGTCTTTTATTAAAGAAGGGCAAAATCGTTTTTTTAAAATGCTTTTAATAGAAAAATGGGTACAAATGCAAACGGAAAAATAAAAAGGGTACAAGTTAAACATGGGTGACCAAATAGGGTGTCCCAAGCAATTTTACGAACAGGGGCGGAGCTAGAAGCCGCCTCCAAATTTGGCCAAACCCAAGGATTTTTACTCAAACGATATATTTGTGTTTTAAAAACTCATTAAATACTTATAAAATATTAAGGCGGAATACATGTGGAGACACTTAAAGTTGGCACCATCTTTCATTTAGACACCTAAACTGAAGGTTGTTCCTATTGAGCATTTATACTACACTAAACTTGTTCCAATTAGACACTTTTTTGACAATTAGCCAAACTTACAAAGTGTGTGCAGTACACTCGCGACTGACGTGACGAATGACAAATAAAAAAAAGGATATCATTTTGAGTTAAAAAAAAAGAAAAAACTATTTTAAAATCTATTCAGTATCAAAATAAAATAACATTCTCAAAAAGAAAAAGAAAAAAATAATTTACACCCAGAAACTATTAATTTTCTCAACTGGGGCATCGCCATCTGTCCGTTCATCGGCGGCAGCAGGAGCTTTGGATAACAAAAATGGTGTTGTACCGGAGAAATCGTAGCACGAGATCAAAATCAATATCAGCGTTTAACGCAGGACTTCAATCGATTTTATCTTCAAACGCCTCCTTCATCGACTTTTCCGAACTAGCCATGGCTAAACCGGTGGAGCGCCACCACCACCTTCACCGCAAAAAATTTTTGAAGAAAATTTCCAGTACTTCTGCCGGAATTTAAACCTTTGGAAGGGTGGAAATAGTTTGCCTTGCTGTGATAAATGATCCCACATGTCATTAGGTGAAACAACGGGTGGATTAATCTTTTGGAGCAAATCTTGGTGGTGAATGTTCCTCAAGCGCCGGAACCGGCATGCAACGGCACTGGAAAATTGATTCTTCAGACGATGCTTATATTTTCCGACAAAACTATTTATTGTAGCTTAAAAGGTGCTTCTGTCGCTGGAGTTCATTCTCTGTCGCCGGCGATGATGGACACTCCTTATCTTGATGAGAGAATTAATGCTTCTGCTGGTTGTTTGGAGAAGGGGCTGGCGATGGGGGTTAGAGAGGAGGGTGGTAGAGGATTTGGTGGTGAGGAGGGGGAGCTTGGCGGCGGCTGGTTGTTTGGAGAAGGGGCTGGCGGCTGCTTTTTTGTGTGAAGAAGAAGGGTTGGTTCAAACTTTCGAGCTAAATCAATGGTGGAGGCACAACAATGGTGAAAGTGGAGGAGGCAATGGTGGAAATGGCGGTAGACATAAAGAAGAAAGAAGAAGAAGGAAATAAAAAAGATAAAAAAAATAAATGTATAAGGAACACTCCTAAGTTCAGATGTCTAAATGAAAAACCGTATCAACTTTAAGTGTCTTTATATGTATTTAGCCAAATATTAATTTAGAACCCGTCTTTCGTAAAGCTGAAATCTTCACTTCCACTATGCCGAGAATACATTGATAATAACGTCGCAACCTCACCCAACACCCCACACCCACCCCACACTCAACTCCTACTCCAACCCTGGCCCCAACGTATATATATTTTGAGAAAGAAAAAAAAAACCTTTGCTTTACTCTTATCCATTCTCATTTGAGACAAAAATTAGTAATCAAAACAGAAAATGGTGATGAGAAGAAAAGCAGCTCTGAGTCTCTTATGGATATTAACGGCGTTAACTCTACACCTCGTGATTGTCGCCAGCGAGTATTTCAAGCCGTTCAATGTTACCTACGATCACCGTGCTCTCATCATCGCCGGCAAACGCCGTATTCTTATCTCCGCTGGCATTCACTACCCTCGCGCCACTCCTGAGGTCTTTAATATTTCCCTAAATTTATTTGTTTTTTGTTATTAATTTTTTCTCTCTGAATTTGCTGCTCTCTTGTGTCGTTTGACCTGAGACGGAGATTAAGAAAAAAGAAAAAAGAAAAAAGAAGAAGCAAACATTTGGCACATAATTTTAATATATATATATATAACATACTTCAACATACTATCTCATAACTATATTAAGAATATTAATCAAGAGCTAAAATGGAAACTCAAAAAGTAAATACTTTCCAAATAAAGAAATGTGGAGTGCTGTACTGGTGAGAGGTAGCGGCCTGTAGAATTAGTGTAGGTGCGCGCAAGCTCGCCTGGACCCCACGATCATAAAGAAAGAAAATAAAGAAATGTGGAGTATGTTATATTGGAGTGATGAGTTATAGTTCCATGGAATTGAAAAGAATAAAAAAGATTAAGAGCCCGTTTGGATTAGCTGATTGTAAATAGCTGATAAGCTTGAAGTGTTAAAAAGCATTTTTAAGTGCTGAAACCGATTTTTTAAATAAGCATTTACGTGTTTGGATAGACGTGCTGAAACTGATAATAAGCAGTTGATGTATTTGCTAGAAAAGTACTGATAAGTTGTTCTTTTACTAAAATGACTAATGTCTAATGTCTAATTTTAGGATAAACTAGTAAAAACCTCGGTCAAGCTAAAAATCTTTATAAGCTAAAAGCCCTAAGTTGGGGCTGACCAACTTATGACTAATGTTTGATTTTAGCTTATAAGCACTTTAGGTATTTACCAAACGCGTAGATAAGTCAAAAGGTGCTTATAAGCCAGTTTGACCAGCTTATAAGCTTAGCCAAATACACTCTAAGTAAAAAGTAGTTGTTATGTGGATTATCTTTGGATTCATGGGGAACTAAGTAGGAAATAATGGTAAAGAACATTTTTCTTAAAACATTTTCCTGAAATAAATTTCAAGGGAAACATTAATTTGCTTTGTCTAATTTCTTAAAATTGTGCTTCAATGAGATAACATCTGAACTTTCAGGTCCCTTAATAAGGAGATAATCATTTTAATATCTTTTTTGATAACCGTCATGTCCGAGCCAGCTCACACGTACCTCATCTAATGCGAAAGGATACCAGCACAAGAACCGGTAACTCTGTCCACCAAGGTTTGGACAGATGAGAAGAGATCACCAATTGTTTTTACCTCCGCTAAAATTCATTCTAATATCTTGACAGATATGAAACGAAAGATATGCTCTTGTTAGAGTTACTGCATTTCTTGGAACAGTAATTTCCTGAAGTTTTAGAGAACCTAATAGAAATATCTAAGTTTAATGTTTCATAAAAGTCCGAAATAAAACAATCAATAGAGATGTATGTTAGCGGAACTTATCTATTTGGTTTTGCTTATATTCCTTTGAAGAATATAATTATAGTGTAGGAACTTCAAAGCACCATATCCTCATGTTACAATATCTTTGGAGTTTATATAAGCCTTTTACATGTCATATATGCCAGATGTGGCCTCAATTGATAGCTAGGAGCAAAGAAGGTGGTGCAGATGTGATTGAGACTTATACATTTTGGAACGGTCATGAGCCAGTGAGAGGACAGGTATTCATTTCCTGAAAGACCCTGCATTTTGGTGTTTGTTGCTTTGTCGGTCTTGTATTCAATTGAATCTTTTGTATTTTCTGCTATATAATTTCTTTAACCTTGATTATTTTTAGTTCTTGATATTTCTGAACTACTTCTCTCTTTTGATGCTTCCCTTTTCAGTATAACTTTGAAGGAAGATATGATATTGTCAAGTTTGCAAAGCTAGTTGGGTCTCATGGACTATATCTCTTTCTCCGAATAGGTCCTTATGCTTGCGCGGAGTGGAACTTCGGGTAATGTTCTTCTTTCATGATTGCTGTGCTCAGTTTTGACTTTATCATTAGTTCATGTAAAATGTGTTTGTTCATGCTTCACAATCTAGTCTATTATTTCAAAGCAAAAAGTTAACAACTTTTGGATAAATGCACTAGTTTTGACCTCACAAGGTGATCAGCCACAGGGAAGGGTGCTATGTAGAAATGAGAATTTTTGGTAATTCAACAGCTGACTAGGTAGCACCGAGCAATCTGAAGATCCCTTAAAGTAAAGAAACAAAGTAGAGCAGTCAATAACAGAATTTAGTAGAAGGGCATTAACACATTCGTGTCACGAATGAGTGCTTCTCTGTTGATCTCACAAGGTGATTTACTTCCCGTATTGCAGGGGCTTCCCTGTATGGCTTCGTGATATACCTGGAATAGAATTTCGAACGGATAATGCACCATTCAAGGTAATATAGAGCACTTATCTCTTTTGATAAAATAACAAGATCTTACATTTAACAAAAGATTTTGTTGGTTGGTAAATTGGTCACGTTGTATTAGTGAAGTGGCTCGGATTGGTATCAGTTTTGCTCCGGCTAAATCAATCTATTAGATCGACTAAGTACACTTGATCTAATAAATACCCTGTCAGAATGAGAAATTCTATTGACTCGGATCTTTAGTATTCTCTTAATTACATGCACTTTTTTTTTCTACAATATTTTTATCACCTATAATTAGGTGTCTCTTGTAATTCAAGTGAATTAAGTTACTATAGAAGTAGAGAGAAGACAACTAGTTCTGTCCTTCTCTTCCTTCCCCCTCAAGATATTTCCCTAGGAGCAAATAGCTAGACCGCTCTTATCAACTTGTTTCTCTGTCGGGGAAAGTGCATTCTTGTTATTATCTGGATCACTAATTAAAGGGCTTACTCCATGCATTTTTTGGGATGCATTCCTTGTATGTAGAAATTTTTATCTGTATTTGCTAATGTTCATGTGGGATTGAGGCGTAGTTAATTGATGATTGAATAAGCTAACTTTAAGTTTTGCTTTCCAACACTTCGTTGCTCAAGTTGCATTATGATAGTTTAAAGAAATAATTGGCTGCCAGAGGATTGTAATTTGAAAAATTCATACACTTTTCCCAGGAGGAGATGGAGCGCTTTGTAAAAAAGATAGTTGATCTTATGATGGCAGAGTCACTCTTTTCATGGCAAGGTGGTCCGATCATTTTGTTGCAGGTTCTGAAATTTCTTACTCTAATCACTAATTAGAATATCAGTATTACTGTAACGCTGACATCTGCACTTTATTAGTAAGACAAATAGGAAAATTTCTAAAAAGACTGCTTGAAATTATTGAATGAATAATGCACCTTACAACTGAGAGTGAGGAGTTTCCTCTTGAAATGATTATTGGATGTCCAGTTTTTTGACAAAGACATTGGATGTCCAGTTTCTAGATGAAATTTGCAGCCACTGATCCATTTGGCACTTTTCTCTAGCTCCTTCTTCCCCCTCTCTCTGCATATGTTCTTTTCATGCTTCTGCATGTATGTTTGTATTGTTAAACCGACGTTATGTCTTCGTCTGATGTTATTTTTTGTCAGATTGAAAATGAATATGGAAATATTGAAAGCTCATTTGGTCCAAATGGGAAGAAATATATGAAATGGGCTGCTGAAATGGCAGTTGGTCTTGGCGCTGGTGTTCCATGGGTCATGTGCAAGCAAGCTGATGCTCCAGAATACATTGTAATGCACTTGAGTTCCTGATCTTCTCTAATTACGACCAACTGGTCTAGTTAGTGTGATAATTTTGATAAAGATAGATTTATTTCATAATTTATTTAAATGCAATTTATTTCATTGAAGCAGTTGCACAATACCAGTGCATAGAATTATCTGCAAATATGCGATCATGTTTCTTGAGCTTCTTTAAACAAATTGATTTGACTTACAAATTTAACTCTCTATCATACAGAACGAATAAAGTATTTGAATTTCCAAGTTAATCGAACTCATGAAGTGAGGTAAACTGATCTAAAATGACGAAGCCATAGTTTCTCAAGCTTTTTTGGATTAAATTTATAATTCGGAAGCAGAGTTCTCTCTGTTTTATTTATTTCTCTTGTGCTATTGTTAGTCCTCCTTTAAAGGGCTGGGGTACTTTTTCTTTATCTTGTTATATTATTGAATTTTTCTTTTTGACAGATAGATACTTGCAATGCATACTATTGTGACGGGTTCAGGCCAAATTCTGAGAAGAAACCAAAAATTTGGACTGAGAATTGGGATGGATGGTATGATAATCGCTTCTTGTTTGTTAGGTCCTTTCTCGTTTCATTGAATTCTGAACCAGTATGTGCATGGTTCCGGGAATCCTTAGATTCTTGTTAGTGATATGAATATGATTGTATGATCTCTTATAGGTGACTTGACTTCTGGATGGATCACGAACTAAAAATCTACATTTCCTTGCTTGCCAGAAGCACCTACTTCGAGAATTGTTCTCTGTAGATTCTGACCTTTAGTACTTGACTTTCTATTCTTTCATGTTTCCTCCGTTCGGAAAGCTTAGAATAATGGCAAATCTACGTGAAAGGCAGTTTGGCCATATAAGTGTTCCATCTCATAAGTGAAGGTTCCTTTTATCTCTCTCATATATAATGTTTGAAGTCCTGAAACTGGCTTAAATATGTGAAATCACTTTTTAATGGAAGGAGAATATTATCAAGAGTCAAGACACAAATGTTAGGGAAGTGATTAGAAAGGTATTGTAGAACTTCAAAGAATGAAATGAACCAGTATATAATCATAAATGCAGTAATGTATGAAGTATAAGTACTCGATTTGTTAAAGTTCTACAATTACGAGGGAAGCCTTCTACTCCCCTTTAGTAATTGTCCCTTGCATATGGGGTCCATCATAATTTCAGTAGGGCAATGATGGACGCCTTTGATTAGCAGAAACGTGTCTGGTTTGAGAGTGTCAGATCGTCCAAGAAAGATATGGTGCCCAGAGTCAGCTGCTCAATCAATCTGTTACTCTCATGAAAGATGGACAATCGTACAAGGTGGAGGATAAAAGGTTAAGTCTTAAATTAGGTTGCTAAAGGATGGTGGTTGAGTGCTTTGCTTGCTTAGGATATGCTGTTAGATCATGAACAGTGCTTTTTTGTCAGGTTTAGATCAGTGGATTGTTTAGTTAAATTGGTATTAGAAATTCATCTGTGAGCTAATGATCTTTACATTGATCATATGTCTCTATAGTTCTACTGAAATCTAACTCAAGAAATCTGATCCAGGAAGCCTGGTATAGTCGAGCTCATATCCCTTAATGTAATGCTCTTTATGATGTTTCTATGTCTCTCTCTGGTGTATACAATTGCAAAAAAGAAAGCAGGATCACTTAGTTACTCTTTGAATTAAGCTGAGGAGTCAATAACATCCAGAAAAGGAAAAGACAGACAATTTTATTCTTTTCTTTCCTGCAGGTTTGCAAATTGGGGGGAAAGACTCCCGCGTAGGCCTACCGAGGACATTGCATTTGCAATTGCTCGTTTCTTTCAGCGTGGGGGCAGCTTGCAGAACTATTATATGGTAATTTAGATACCTATGATGCTCTAATTTTACTTTCCTGTCTGGTATAGATAAGGCATGTGCCTTAAACATACTTCTCTCGTATTCCAGCTGACCTTTCTAACTTGCATTCGTTTTGGAAATTTTCTTGTTAACTGATAGCAGATTCTCCTGTTCCGCCTGCGTATCTCTTTCTTGATTACTATAATTTGTTCAATATCCAGTATTTGTTTGTTGAAAAGGTTAAGAAGTAGGAACAAACCCTTTGCTTATCTGGCTAAATGTTGATTACCAATTTATGTGAACTGGAGAGGCTTGAAGTTACTCACCGGTACTGGGCAAAATCTTCAAGTTTGTTTGAATGTCAAGAAAGTCACCAGAAAGTGTATTTCTTGAGGATATTGCTGGAAAATAAACGAGAGATCATTTTTCTTGCACGCGTTTGTTTGAGAGGAAAATGACAGATTAAATAAGCCTGATGATAGTTTAAATAAGAAGGAACCATTTCCTTTCAAGTTTCCTACACTTCTTGCAAGAAATCTGTTTCTTGTAAGAAATTCTTTAACTGCTACTACAGTAATTTGACGCAAAAATACTGGTAACTTAGATCTCTGCCCTTCCCTTTTCATTTCCAGGCAACAACCAGTTACTCGCTGACTGGCTGTTTCATCTTGTAATTCCAGTATTTTGGTGGGACAAACTTTGGCCGGACTGCAGGAGGCCCAACTCAAATCACTAGCTATGATTATGATGCTCCACTTGATGAATATGGTAACTTTTGAGTATTATTTATTGTTACTTTAGGAACATTCTTACGAAGGAAAAAATCGATAGCCAGGTGTACATTGGTGCTTATCTTTTGTAATAAGTAATCATTACGTAGGCCTTAATAACTACATTGATATTTATCTTATGTAAAATGTGTCTGTTAAAATGTTCACTGATAGAATGTTAAAGTGTTAGTGGTAGGATCATCCTTAAGGTTAAAATATTAGAAGTGCCAAGTTTTTAAATAAGATACTGTCCCACATTACGTATATAAATAGGTGTATTATAATCATCAAATAATCAATATCTCTTCTCTCTTTTGTTTTCTCACGGTCACCATACTGTATAGGACTACTGCGTCAACCTAAATGGGGCCACTTGAAGGATCTGCATGCTGCTATAAAGCTTTGTGAACCTGCTCTTGTTGCTGCTGATTCACCTCAGTATATTAAACTGGGACCAAAACAAGAGGTCAGTTATGGGCTTGAGTAATCCCAGTGGGTATTGCTGTAAGTCCACCCACATGTCGTTAAATGTAAAATAAAATGTCGTTTGTTGAATATATTTTAGCCAGACTACCTTTACAGAGGTATCAATTACTTTTTGTTAATTTCGAAAGGCGCATCATGTTTTTACTTTGTTCTCGGACAGCTACAAAATGCCTTGACATATCTCATAATTCAAAAACTCCATCAGTTATTATTATGATGCTTCACTTAATTATGTCTTTGATGGAGCACAGCACAGTTATTGTTATTCTTGCTTTTTGAGGAGGTTGCAGTCATCTGTTGCTAACGGAATGAACAATATATCACCTACATTTACAAATTACTTGATTAAAAAATACCACCTATTTTTATCGTCCTTCTGAAAAAAAGCAGATAAGAGCAGTGAGAAAATTCTCTGTACTGTTTCTTATTATCACAAGCTTATTTACAACACCATATATAGCAGAAACATAGGAGGAAAATCTGTCATTCTAACCAGGAAATTAATCTGGTCAATGGATAAATCTAGTTGATTTGATTTGTTAATATGGAGGAGGAAAGAAGTTTATCTTTCAGATCAGGAAATTAATTACCATTGAGTAATGGTCTACCAAAATCTAACACAACCTAATTTACAGAATTGTTTAGTTTTTGTTCATAATACCTTCCGTGGGGGAAAGTTTGTGAATTACGAATGAGATTTTGTATCTTTTAATTTTAGGATAAAGTTACTCTCTTCTTATCACCTTAAAATTTATTTTGTGAATCATCGTAATTCTTATTTACCCTTTTCATACCTCGGTATTTGATGCTTGTCATGTTACTTCAGGCACATGTCTATCATGGAACACCCCACAACAATGGCCAATATCTGTCCTTGAATGAGAGCTTGTGCGCAGCATTTATTGCAAATATTGATGAACATGAATCAGCAACTGTGAAATTTTATGGTCAAGAGTATGCTTTACCTCCATGGTCAGTGAGTATTCTGCCAGATTGCAGAAACACAGCTTTTAACACAGCTAAGGTTTGTCGATGTTCCCACAGATGAAAGATTATAAGTTTGAACTTCAAAAGATTGCTGTCACTGCTTGCATGTCTACTTGTTTCAGTATTTTCTTTTATTTCCCAGCTTGTTATATTGTATTGATAATGCTTTCATATGTCTGGCTTCCACAAACTGAGGCTGCAATCATTCCATTTCTGTGTGGATGATGGTCGATAACAAAGATTGTTGATTTTCCATTGCAGGCTAAGTAGTGTCTTATAGCTTCTGAAAAAATGGTTGAAAAGCAAATGTTTACCACCCTTTTGGCAAATAGTTCATCAGAAATTATTATCTGTCGGTATATGACCTAGCGATGTGTAAATTATGATCTGTCGGTATATGACCTAGAGATGTGTTGTGAATTAGCTACAGTGTTCACCTACTACCACATCCACAAGTTATTTGATAGAGAAATTTATCCTGGTTACTAAAGCTAAACTCTTGCTTTAGTAACCTCATCATCATATAGTAACTAACAAGGATCCACTCTCTTTCAAGTACAACATAGTGACCTCATCACCAGAACGCTTATAAAACGATGTAATACTTTGTGATTCATTTTAATGATGTATTTAATTTCTTTTCTCTTGCATTCTTTAAACAGGTGGGGGCACAAACTTCAATCAAAACAGTGGGCTTTGATTCTGTTTCAGTTGGAAATAATTCCTTGTTTCCGCAATTAAGGATTAAAAGCAAACTCGGAAGCATTTCACAATCTTGGATGACATTGAAGGAGCCACTTGGTGTGTGGGGTGACAAAAATTTTACTTCTAAAGGGATACTGGAGCATCTGAATGTGACAAAAGACCAGTCTGATTACCTGTGGTATCTGACCAGGTATTTCAAACTTATAAATGAGGTTAGGATCAGACTGAACAGTGATTACTACCTTTATAATGTCTAACACTCTTTCCATCCCATTTCATATGGCAGTATTCGATTGGATGCGGAGCTTGATCTAAACTAAAATGAATATAAGCGCAAGTTAATGACTTGATCCCCATTCACTCTGTCACTTAATTTGGAGCCGCTTGATAATAGGATTTGTCCAATTCTCAGGATAAAGCTTTAAAACCTCACCGCTTATACCACATTCTCAGGATGACATCTGTACTGGAGTTGAAACCAACTTCAAACACGAGAAAATACCCATAGAAGCCAAGCACTTTACATGACCCACCCTGGTATCTGCTGGTTGCTAACTTAACATTAGACGTAAAACTAACTTCAAAAATTACAGGCAGGACACTTCTGGTTTAACCAGACTGTTCTCTTTCCCTGTATTGCCACTGTTTGAGTGTGACTCTGTGTGTTTGTTTGCTCTTTTCCCTTTTTACCCCTTTACTTTGGCTTTTGAATCACTGGAGAAATGTGATACTTAACCTTTAGTCTGAGGATTTCAAATTTGAGGACTGAAGGGAATATTAAAATATCAAATAAGGAAAAATGAACTCCTTTGAGGTTTGAGGATGGACAGAGCATAATATCTCTGAGCTTCCAGTTTTGTTATCCTTGCATTTGGTTCGGAGTCTGCTTGTGAATAGTTTGGCATTAACAATGTCAAGCCTCTTTGGATGAGAATCTACAAATCTACAAACCTTTTTGGTACCTTTGGCTTTTGAGATGAATTGCTTGGTAGGCAACTATATTAATGATGCCGCATGTAATAATGTCACTCTCTGAATTTTCTGTTGTCTCCCGGTTCTCCGTTCTCCTCAGATCGTGTTTTATATTCCTTTAACAAGTGAATAGGCACAGAACACAAACACCAGAAAAACTGTGCAAGATTTGGTTTCAAATTTATTCATAACATTTGTTATTGGTTGCAAACTGAAATTGTGATGATTTACTCTGCAATCTCTGGTGAATGCAGGATATATATTTCTGATGATGACATCTCATTTTGGGAGGAAAATGATGTTAGTCCAACGATTGATATTGATAGCATGCGTGACTTTGTTCGCATATTTGTTAATGGCCAGCTTGCAGGTATTTGGTTAGATTTACTCTATCTTTATTATGCATTCTACTCTTTGTGTTAACGTAGCACTCAATCCTCCGTTAGCAGTCAGTTCAGCTGGCATTGTCAAAGCGTACTTCAACCATTGAACTTTTCTTGGTTTGCATGAATATGATTTTCATCTCTGAGCATAGGGACGGTCTGATGCATTTGCATCGAATACCTGTCAAATACTCATTACTAGATGGAGACATATTAAATAGATCATCTGTCATAGGGTGATCAGTTAATAGCGAGTAGAAATTCTGTTATTGCCTCAGTTTATTTTGAAGGCTCTTGGAATTGGTCATAGAAAGATAAAAAATGAAGATATCTTATGTAGAAAGGGAGAAATTAATAAGAGTGAATTAAAATAGGGTTGTCAAAATTTGAACAGCAACTAGGCCATTTCGACAACACGAAAAGGGCTGCTAAATGGACAAAGTGAGACCAAAATATAGTGCAGTGAATTTCAGGGATTAAGAAAGCAGCAAAGTGATAACAAGCCTAAAGCTAAGAAACCTGTATGCTATAGCTAAATGAAGATTATAAACCATAAACCCAGACTAGAACTGAAACAAAAATCCCTGTTTCTGACACTGTTCACACCAGAAACAAAGGAAATTAATACTGGTTTCTTCCCACCATCTTGCGCTTAGAGCAGTGAGGTGAATAGGATGGCTGTAGGTATGCTAGGAATGTCAGGTGAAGCAATACAATGACTACAGGTCATGTGAAGCTCCAATCTTGTGCTTATAGTGCACGGGGCTAAAACATCAGCCAAGCTAGCTTTGAGAGGGTCCTTATGTCTGGTCATTCTATTGCAGTCTTTTCTTTCCCGTGTTCTCCTTATATCTCCAATTCCTTACCCTTTTACCCTGTTATGTGTCTGTTGCAATTGAAGGTAGTATGAAAGGAAAATGGATCAAGGTGGTTCAACCAGTTAAGCTGGTCCAGGGATACAATGACATACTGCTATTGTCTGAGACGGTGGGATTGCAGGTAAAGCTTAGAAGTTGAATTACCCTGATGAGGACCATGTTAAATATGAAGTATTATCTTAAATTTTGAAAAGGTTATATTAGTTTTGGGTGAAACCTGAAGCTCTATCATCTCATACTCTCATCAGAAGGGGGAAAAAGGAGATAAAATCTCCCATTATCCAACCTCCATATTTTGAAACCCTTACCTCCATTTCTCTTTCTTATTTCTTTCCTTCCTTGAATCACTGGTGACGATGCACGTTACTCACTAATTTCCATTTGCTTTACGCTTTACCAAATTTTTAACTTATGGGATTTTACTGGGTTGTTGTTGTACCCATAAAAGCCGCCCAGCTTCATCAAACTGACCTCTAAGCTGAAAAGACTTTTCTGCCACAATTTCAGAATTATGGTGCCCTCTTAGAGAAGGATGGGGCAGGTTTTAAAGGTCAACTGAAGCTTACAGGATGCAGAAACGGGGATATTAATCTCACAACATCCTCATGGACCTACCAGGTACCTGATTTTCTTCACCTTAAATGAATCTTGATGTTCACACATGATAAAAGATTAAACTTCTCATTTATGGGAGGTGTTGCAGAGGCTGATATCCCATGCTCTAATTATGTGCATATGCAAGTAACTTGAAGTAATAGACCAATTAGAAGAACCAAAATATGAGAAACTACTCTAGACTGGAAGGACAAGTGGGTTTACTTTTCACTCATTAGTGGTATTTGAAGAGTGTTCATGGTGCTGAACAAATCGATGATAGAATTGTGGATAAGATGTAGAAAAAGTTCCTGGTAGATTTTTTCCATAAGCCTTTTAATAAGCATCCTTTCTCAGTGAATATCACGCTATATCTACTGAATGAACTAAAAGATTAAAAATCCCAAGGCTTCTCTATCCATCTGTTCTCTGCTTGTGAAACGACAAAACTTGATATAATTCAGGCTATGCACACAGAATCAACTTGCAAAAGAGTACCATGTCTTCCACATGCAAGAAGAAAAATTGATCATCATGTGAAGTTGGAGATCGTTAAACTGCACAATGCCATTTCATTATACAACTGAAATATAGGAAGCCTGATTTTAGTTATTTGTTCAACAGGCGGGGCTCAAAGGTGAATTCCTGAATGTATATGATGTCAATAGTACCGAAAGAGCAGGATGGACTGAGTTGCCGAACGATGCAATTCCATCAGTCTTTTCCTGGTACAGAGTAAGTCGACAAAGCTCAAATTCCAGATTCAACTGTCACTAGCATAGAGGAAAACTTGCTAATTACTGGCAATATCGTTTCTTAAAATTAATGTCTCAATTGTTTTGTGTAAATCCGCTTATGACCATTGTTCAGTTACTCAAGTTACATATCTATGACATTGATGCCTTAATTATTGAATGACTTATGTCTATTATTGTCTTAAACTATCTTTTATTTGTGGGTGAAGGAAGCACCACATTCAATACTACTAGAAAGACTTGCTCTAGAAGAGATGTTCAGTATTGTTTAGTCAATTGCTGTGATCATATTTTAAGTCTTTCATTACATTCTATATTAAGAATCTTATGATTAACTTTTTATTCTCTAAGACTTCCCTTCAATTTTTGTTACGGAAATCTGGGAGTACAAAATGGAAAATTGTTCAATCAATAAAGGACCTTTCATTCTCACTTCAATCAATCATCTGACTATGCATCAATTTCAAATTAATTGGAGTCAGCTATAAGTAATTCTTTGAATCTATTCTGTTCCATTCAGGTCCATTTCATTACAATATGTGATAAGATATCTCTTAAGGAAAATTAGGAGTTCTTTAAAGTTAAAGATTATCAAAATCTCCCAATTTTACACAGACACAAGTCTCTAACCAGAATAAAAGAAATAAACATCACACCAAGTGTAAGTGTAACAACTGCGACTACTTTTGGATAAATTGAGATGTGTCTAATGACTACTAAGCTTTTATCCCAACTAATTGGCATCGGATATATGAATCCTTTACTTCCTCTATGACAAAGAGCGGAGCAAAGAAAATTTCGCTTTTGACTTCTTCTCCGTCTGTAGATTGCTACTTAATAGTTAGATGCTCCTATTTCTTAGTTGTAGATTGTAGATTAAGATGTTATTAGATAAAAGGAAAATCAGCCCTTCCATTCCTTCTCGAGAATAGGTCCTTAATAGCTCATACATAAGGAACTCTCTACGACCCTTTCACTTTTTTTTTTTTTTTTTGTGTATGCTGCCAAAAAATTTCTTGGAACAGGCGCTTCTCTATGTTTACTTCTATATATGATGATTGTCTTCGCTGGTGTAAGATTGATATTAAGTGGTTTGTCTCATTGGTTGAGCAGACGAAGTTTGATGCACCAGGCGGGACAGATCCAGTTGCCCTTGATTTCAGTAGCATGGGAAAAGGTCAGGCATGGGTTAATGGTAACCATATAGGAAGATATTGGACTTTGGTTGCACCAAAAAATGGATGTGGAAGAACTTGTGATTATCGTGGTGCTTACAACTCTGATAAATGTAGGACAAACTGTGGAGAGCTTACTCAGGCCTGGTATGGACCTCTTTTACTTGCTGAAATTCTATTTTACATTGTAGGATTTTTGGCTCTCATGATTGTACCAGGCCACACTTGGCATCAAGTCATGTGTAGGTTCTGTGAAATGGATCTGAGCTGATACATTCTGTTGCTTATAAAGTTCTTTTTTTTTTTTGGCGAACCAGGTATCACATACCTAGATCATGGCTAAAGACTTCTAATAATGTACTAGTTATCTTTGAAGAAACAGATAAGACTCCATTTGAGATTTCCATTACTACGCGTTCTACTGAAACCATATGTGCTCAAGTATCAGAAAAGCACTATCCACCTCTACATATGTGGTCTCACTCAGAGTTCGATGGAAAATTGTCTCTGATGGATAAAACACCAGAAATGCACTTGCAATGTGACGAAGGGCATACGATCTTCTCTATTGAATTTGCAAGCTATGGAAATCCGAAAGGCAGCTGTCAGAAGTTCTCTCAAGGCAAATGCCATGCTGCAAATTCCTTGTCTATTGTGTCTCAGGTATGTTGTTTGTTTATTTATTTTTATTTTTTTTCATTTTAAAATTTTTGAGTTTCACGTTCACCTGTCTTCTTTACAATTTGTTGACTGCAAATGAGTAGATAAACTGCATTCTTTGCAGATATTAAATAATTTCATGATTGTGTTATAGTTAGTTGGACAAGTCGGTCAACCCGTACAATTAAAAGCTGCAAATAGCATAGGAGTTTCTTCTAAAGGTTTTGATCATCCCGTGATGAATTTTTTTTTATTAGTGATAGCTATATGCTAAGTGGATGGAGAGGGACCCCAATACTGAATATGCCAGACCTAATAGATGAAAAAACAAATATTCAAAAGGTTTAACATTTGCGCTTTGTAAATTGTACATGTGCTTATGTACTTAGAGTTTTTGCTGCTTATATATTTGTACTTGTACTGTCAATAAATTATCAGTTCTTATATGTATTAGTATGTTTCAAATCCAAACTATGCAATCAAAGGATGTATAATAACTTGACTGTTTTGACTGAGAGATATTCCTTCATATTAGATCAATATGTTTACTGCTTGACTGAAAAAACATTGTTAAATTTGTAAAACAGGACGGGTGGTGGTTTGAGTTTGGTGTAGAAGGTGTTCATTTCATCTGTCAAATACTAAGAGTCTCTTAATCAAAGTTTCATCTCTTTACAGGCTTGTAAGGGAAGAAATAGTTGCACCATTGGCATTTCCAATGCTGTATTTGGAGATCCATGTCGACATGTTGTGAAGAATTTGGCTGTTCAGGCAAAATGCTCGCCACCACCAGATCTCTGCACTTCAGCTTCCGTGTGAGAAATTATTTCGTGAAATCATAAAGCTTAGAATGAAACCCTTCCCTTAAAGTCCATCTGTTGCCTAGCCCCAGCTCCTTCAGCAATTCTTAAATTGCATAGTTACAAGCACTCCAGAATTCATGTATGGACGATTATCTGTAAATGTTCGGCTGATGTATATGAAATGAAATGTCTAACAGTCTCAATATCTATTGCTGATGAATATGAGCTACAAGTTATGACTAAAAATAACAATCCAAATAGCTTTATTGTTGTGCTGCAGAGAAGTCATCAAGGTTTCAATTGAATTTGGACCTTTATCTTAGATCAGGAGGACTTTGTTACTACTAAAGAAGTTACTATATTACTTTTCTCCTTATAGAGTTTAAGTTGACGAATGAATGGACAGTAGAATATTGGCTATTAGGCACCAAATTGGAAGCTTATTAATATGCTGCCAAGAATGTTAATATTACCCAGCCTATTAACTAAGACATCTTTACTCTGCAAAAGACTAGGATATACCTATAGAATGGGACTTTACTTTTATCTTACGAATAAAATTGGCGTTGGAATTCTTGCGGAAGATCGTGTTTAACTAACACATAATCACACACAAAATAAACGGAGAAAAAATAATAATAAGGATTTAACGATATTTGGCCAGCTTACGTCTTTGTAGCTTGTCTTTGGGGGAGCAGAGGTCGAAAGATTATCTTTGGTTTTTTAATTTATTTCAAGCTTTGGCAAAATGCCAATTAAATAAATATCAGCCTTTATAACAATTACAAGTTGCTAGCACATTCAATAATACTTTAAATTCAAGCTTTCAATAAATGTATTAATTGATACACAACTGCAATTTAAGTACACAAGTTAATTAAAATCCACTAAAAGAATAGGACTTTAATCTTCTACTAACAGTTCTCACCTACAAATCGATCAAGTCTTTGATCCAAATACCAAAATATATACAACCCCTAGTGTTAATCTCCAGAGAGTTGAAATCATGTGCTACAACTTGAGAGGGGAACTTGTTTTCTTTGTCCAACAATCGTCATAAAAAGAGTAGATAACATAACATAAGTTACATATAACTCGGGTTCACGTCATGTAAGATCCAAAGAGGGAAATGCTTTTATCAGGCATACCCATAGTTCAAATTCGAGACGCAAGGGTGAAAGGATCCTACTCGTGATGACTTTGATAAATTCGTTGTTGGTATTTTGGTATGACAAGTGTCTTTTCTGAATCTAGCTATGACCATCATTCTGATAGAGTGAGTTGCTTCCTCTTCCTCTTGTGCATGACATTGGTTTTAGGAAAACATAAGCTATCTAAACATGTTGGATATACAAGACGATACACATACCCGATAGAAAGGAATAAATATTCTTTAGTAGTAATAAATTGTTTGTTGTTTAGGATTATAAATGGAAAAATGGCGATTCTTTGGTCCTCGATAAATTAATTCACCATTCTCTATGCAACACAAAAAATTACTGTATTTTACAAAATAATGCTGGTAAAGTTGTGGTACGTGGCGAAGTTTCATTAATCATTTTCAACCGTCTTCTTCCATGATCCAGATGTCCAGTTCTAACTCTTTACTCCATATGTTGTTGTTGGATTTGCCGCTATATAAACTAAGACGACATTTAAAAGTAGTCAACTGAAACAACTCATTAACACCGACAAAATTTGGTGTTGAAAGCTCTTTCAATTCGTCTGACTTCACATCAAAATATATGATTGTAGAAGCTCTACTTACGTACTTACGTACTTGTCAAGTTCTTAATCCAGAGACCAATATACACAACCCTCAACGCTAATTCCCTGACCGCATCAATATGACCATGAATTAGTTTGTTGTTCTAAACTAGGGAGACGTTCTAAGATTGGGAGAGTTGTTTTTGTCGTCCAATCGTTGCTATTCACACAGCAAACAACGTAAAACAAGTTATAGATCAATATAACCTTGTAATCGTCAGTTGCAGAATCATAACACACACCACAAGCGCACTTCATAACGCTTGCAGTAAATAGATTTGATCAAAACATGACTTAAGTCCGATTATTTAAAAAGGGAAGGAAAACAACATTTTTTAATTTTATGATCCTATTTTTTTTATTTACACATTAGAGATTTACTTTTATATATAAGAGATTTATCTGGGAGAAATTCAAAAATAGCCAGATTTACCACTGGTCGTTGAAAAATAGCCAAGTTTCAAAAGTCATCGAAATTTAGCCACTTTAAATCTGAGCGAAAACACTGTTCAAAATCCGGAAAAATACGCCCGCAAATTTTACGGGAGTTCCAGCATAAGTATGCTTGAACTCCCGTAAATTTTACGGGAGTTCCAGGATAACTATGCTGGAACTCCAGCAAATTTTACGGGAGTTCAAGCATAATTATGCTGGAACTCCCGCAAATTTTACGGGAGTTCCAACAAGTATAATTGTCCAGTATAATATACTGGAGTTTGGAGCACTGGTGCTCCAGTCTCCCGCGAATTTTACAGGAGTTAGCAAAGTATACCGGTCCAGCATAATATGCTGGAGTTCGTACACAAATGCACCAGAACTCCCGTATATTATACTGGACCGGTCCCTGTTGCAGCAAAATAGTGGCTATTTTTCATTGACTTGATAAACGCTGGCTATTTTTCATTGACCAGTGTGAAAACTGGCTATACCATGATATTTCAACGATTTATCTTGTACACATAAGAGATCTAAAAAGAATACTTTCTATTTCAACATTGTAAATGACTATGAAGGCCCATTTTCTCTTTACTTATCTATTTGGGGTCAAATGATTTTATGGGTTTTTACAAACTTATTTTTAGTTGAGGAATTTTCAGAAACCACTATTGTTTAGTGGCTATTAATTTTTTATAGCTATCATATATATAATTACTTCTTATAGCTACTATTCAGTTGTTACGGTAGTGTATTCGCTATATTCGTGCTGTTGTATTCATGAATAAAACAGTAAAAAGCGCCTAAAATCAGGGCAGTCCAGCTGTACGCGCATATATTCACATGTATTCGCGCCATGTAATCATGAATACAACAACAAAAAGCGCCTAAAAATAGGGCAGTCCAGCCGCGCATGTATTCACATGTATTTACAGCAGTAAAAAGAGCCTAAAATCAGGGCAGTCCAGCTATACGCGCATGTATTCACATGTATCCGCGCCATGTATTCATGAATACAGTAACGACAATCACCTTAAAAATCGGTATGTCCAGCTGTCTAAGAGAGAGGAGAAATATAAATAGCGTATTTCATGCATCAATGGTAGTATATACCATAAATCCTTATTCTGCTATAAAATATAAAAGGTAGCTATAGAAAATAATATCTTAAAATAATTTTGTTTATAATAAATAGGGTGTATACCTTTGCTATAGGAAGTAAAATTTCCTTTGCTATAGGGTGCATACCTTTGCTATAGGAATTTTCAGAAATCACTATTGTTTAGTGGCTATTAACTTCATATAGCTACCATAAACATAATTATTTTCTATAGCTACTATTCAGTTGTTACGGTAGTGTATTCATCAAAAAGCGCCTAAAAATCAAGGTAGTCCAGTTGTACGCTAATGTATTCACATGTATTCGCGTCATGTATTCATGAATACAGCAGCAAAAAGCGCCTAAAAACAGGGCAGTCCAGCTGTACGCACATGTATTCACATGTATTCGTGCTGCTGTATTCATGAATACAACAGTAAAAAGCGCCTAAAATCAGGGCAGTCCAGCTGTATGCGCATGTATTCATGAATACAGCAGCAAAAAAGCGCCTAAAATCAGGGCAGTTTCACATGTATTCGCGTTGTTGTTTTCCTGAATACATCAGTAAAAAGTGCATAAAATCAGGGCAGTCCAGCTGTAGGCGCATGTATTCACATGTATTCGCACAGTGCATTCATGAATACAATAACGACAATCACCTTAAAAATAGATAGTCCAACTGTCTAAGAGAGAGGAGAAACATAAATAGCGTATTTTATGCCTTATTTTATGCCTCTATGGTAGTATATACCATAAATACTTATTTTGCTATAAAATATAAAAGGTAGCTATAGAAAATAATATTTTAAAATAATTTTGGTTTATAATAAATAGGGTGTATATCTTTGATATAGGAGGTAAAATTTTCTTTGCTATAGGGTGTATACTTTTGCCATAGGAATTTTCAGAAACCACTATTGTTTAGTGGCTATTAACTTCCTATAGCTACCATATACATAATTACTTCCTATAGCTACTATTCAGTTGTTACGGTAGTGTATTCGCTGTATTCGCGCTGCTGTATTCATGAATACAGCAACAAAAAGCGCCTAAAAATCAAGGTAGTCCAGTTGTACGCGCATGTATTCACATGTATTCTCGCCATGTATTCATGAATACAGCAACAAAAAGCACCTAAAAATAGGGCAGCCTAGTTGTATGCACATGTATTCACATATATTCGTGCTGCTGTATTCATGAATACAGCAGGCAAAAGCGCCTAAAATTAGGATAGTCCAGCTGTATGCGCATGTATTCAAGAATAAAGCAGCAAAAAGCGCCTAAAATCAGGGCAGCTTCACATGTATTCGCGCTGCTATATTCATGAATACAGTAGTAAAAAGTGGCTAAAATCAGGGAAGTCCAGCTGTACGCGCATGTATTCACGCCATGTATTCATGAATACAGTAACGGCAATCACCTTAAAAATAGACATATCCAGCTGTCTAAGAGAGGGGAAAAACATAAATAGCGTATTTCATGCCTCAATGATTATATACCATAAATACTTATTTTGCTATAAAATATAAAAGGCAGCTATAGAAAATAATATTTTAAAATAATTTTGGTTTATAATAAATAGGGTATATAATTGAAAGAATTACAAGAAAAGACATATGACTTCACACCATAATAAAAAATGGCCCATGTTTTTAAGTTTTACCCCACCTTGCCGACATTGTACATATTTTGAAAGCACTTACAAATTCAAAATATGTGTTCTTACAACCATTGCTTCTAAAAACTATGGAGTTAATTCTTTGTTTTCACAACCATTGCTTTCACTCTCTCTTCTTCTCACATCTTCTACATATGCTTCAAGGGCCGTGTATTTTCTGCTTCTCCTCTTGTGTCACCTGCTTGCAATGTAAGAAAATTGAAGAGTAGAAGTCCACCATTGAAGACCATTCAAAGCTTTGCTTTTGAAAATAGTTTTTTTTGAATTTGTTAGTTGTTTGGATTGGGTGTTGTTCCAATTGATTGAAAATATCAAAAGAAGTTCAAAATTTAAATTTGAAGTGATTTGGAGTAGATTTGAGCAAGATTTAAGTTAAATTTTAAAAAAGACGCAAGTAAGAAGACAAAGTCAGTTTTTTGTATAATTATGTATAATCTTGTATAATAGTGTATATGAGTGTAGAAACACACCTTATACACTATTATACACTTTTATACGCCTTTATACAAGTGTCTGTAGACGAACTTCTTCCACGATTTTCAGTTGTAATTCTCGTTCAAAACCAGTCCAAATCTCCATTAAGTGACTTCATATACAACCTCCTTATACTATTTTTAACAAGTCTAAATAACACCCACTCCAAATTTCTCACAAAATCAAATTCGGAATTTAAATCCACATATTTAAGCTTGTTAAAAATCTAATTTTTACCACCCAAATGAATTTGGTTTGTTGAATTAATATTTGAGTCACAGTTACTGATTCAAAAATTAATTTAAAAGCTTGAGGAATCTTTTTTAAAAATTAAATAGTAATTTTGAGAAACTATTTGAGTTGGATGTTGAATATTCTTAGCCTATTATTTTTGGGCTAGTTGGTTATAAATTGAAATATGGGCTATAAAATTAAAAAGTATGGAGTTCAATTGTTCTAATGTGAAATTTTCCCTATACCTTTGCTATAGAAGATAAAATTTCCATAAAAAAATAGTCCAAATCTTTTTCCGATCAAAGCACAATTTTTATATTATATCATTAGGAAAACAAAACTTGAATATTCAAATGGCTATACTTATTCATGCATTCGAAAGTCAATAGGTAATGGTTACAATTTTAATTATAGATTTCTATTTTGGATTTTGCTACTGAAAATCCATATGTAGTTGATATCTTTTGTCTAGTGTAAGTACAAGGATATGTATTTCTTCTTCTTAAACTACAGAAAGGAAAAGAAAAAAGATTTTCCATCAGAAACTCAATCCTTTCATACTTTTATTTTCCTTCACTTTACCACTTGGTCTTTCTAATAATGAAGAGCTCAATTATTTTTTGCATGGTAATTTGCTTGAGGCTTCAAATATAAAAGGTCCAACACCATGATAATCAAACATGGGTGGCTGGACAGGGCCAGGACCAGGTCCAGGGTTAACAGGTGGTAGGATAGGTTTCAATAAAGCACCAGATTTTCCACCATTGAAGTTTGTTGGGACATTGCAAATGGGTTTGGGTGATTTCCCTAAGTATACCTTGCATTTGTGAACATCTGCTCTGGTTAAAGACATGGGCATGATCACGAATTCACCATTCTTGTCTGTCATCGCTGTTTGAACATTTGCCTTCCTTTCATTATTGTGACAAACTAGCTTCACTACAGCTCCTGCAAAAACAGTACAACCATTGAAATCAAAAGCTCAATCAGAAGACGGAAATAATGAAGTAAAAAATAGGAGTATGGATTTAATTAGCTTATGTACACTAATGATAATTTTTTTTTTTAACGTACGTATTCTCAGGGCATGATCCAAGATTATTTAAAATTAACGAGTTCATATCTTTAAGGTTCTTAGCACTCAATTCATTAAATTTGAATTCAAGATTTAATATTATAAGTATTTGGTAAGATTTTAGTAACTATTCACATGAAATGCATAAAGGCTGCATTTGTCTTTGTGTATTTTAATATCTTACGTTGTATAGTAACTTGACTTATATTCTATGATAGTAATTCTATGTTTTAAGGTTGTATAATTATTCTTTAAATGATCTGTAAATATTGTTTTACGTGTATAAGACGTTTTAGTAATTGCAAATAGAATGAGATGGTAATGAAGAGAAAATTAAGGTTGTGAAATAACCCTGGAGTGGGGAAGCTTTATAGAGAGTGGGAAGCCCTCTGCTGTTGCAAGATTTGCAATGAACATGGCCGACGATGATTAGAGGCTTCCCAGCGGGATGAATTGAGGGTGGTGGAAGCTTAACTGGTGGTGTGATTGGTGGAATAAATGGTGGAGCCAGAGTTGGTGGAGAGGGTATTATAATAGGTGGCTGATCAGTTGGTGGTGTTGGCTCAATAATTGGTGGCTCGTAATCAGAAGGTGGTGGCTCTACGACCGGAGGCTCATGATCAGAGGGTGGAGCAGGTGGTGACTCAGCAATTGGCGGTTCATCATAAGCATCTTGTTGCGGAGGTGATGATATAATAGGTGGTGGAGGTGGCGTTTTAAAAGGTGGCTGAGTATATGCTGGTGGTGGTGGTTTCCTTATTGGTAGCTGAGTAGCTGGTGGTGGTGGTTTCCTTATTGGTAACTGAGCTGGTGGTGGTGGTAGTGGTAGTTTTGGTGGTGGTGCTCGTTGCATTGGCGGTGGCTGAGAAGGTGGTGTTGCTCGTTGCGTTGCTGGTGGCTGAGCAGCCGGTGACGGAGATGGTGGTTTAACAGGTGGCTTAGCAGATGGTGGGGGAGGTGGTGGTTGCTTTGCTGGTGCCGGCGGTGGAGGAGATTGCTTTGGTGGCGGAGGTGGTGACTTAGCTGGTGGTGGCGGTGGTGACTTAGCAGGCGGCTGCGGAGGGGATGACTTAACCTGTGGTGGTGGTGACTTGGCTGCTGGTGATGATGGTGATGGCTTGTTTACCGGTGTAGGGCTAGAGGGGCTTTTCTTGGGAGATTTTCCAAAGAATAAGTAGAGTGTTGAGAAGATTGGATGGTGTTGAGCTTTGTCTAATGACGAGCTTTCAATTCCTTCACCAAAGCTAGAGAATGAGCTGAGTACTAAAACTGAAAGCTGTATGTGTATAGGGAAAAAACTGAATTTATATTGAAGGTGACGTGGCATGACACGTGGACTGGTCAAATGGTCAAAACATGATGATCAGTTAAGAGGCACGGGCGATATCAGATACGAGGAGAAGAAAGTTAAATAGGCACGAGATGCTATTCAAGTGATACGAGTCTCGTATCTATTTAACTTAATTAAAGCCAGGAGGTCAGAAGGAATTGAAGATATGAATTTGATGGCATAAAGGAGTCTAAATTCAGTATTAAATGTCAAATACGTTAGCGAATCGGTATTGAATAGGAATGATTGTGTAACGTTTCATTTAATGTCATTTAATGCTCATAGTTGCCTCTTTAAGGCTAAGGCATTATACCTTTTCCTAGAAAAATCAACTATAAAAGGAGGAGGTCTCAGCATTTGTAGGGACACGAAAAATCATTGAGATTACATTGAAATACAAACTTATTTACTGCTTTATTATCCTCAAAAATTTCTTATTCTTTTCGTCTCCTGATTATCAGTAACCCGATTTTTTTCTCTTAATTTCTAGTTTTAACCGAAATTCTATTTTTTGGTTAAACAGTATGAGCACTAGAGTTTTTACTGATGTAAAACCCATAGTTGTTTAACTCAAATCAACTACGGGTAAAAGGAAGTATAAGGTGAATGAATTTATAAGAGCACGAAAAGGCATATGATGAAGTTTATGTCATCAAGATATAATAAAGAAAAGAAAAGAAAATTGAAACTCATACTTCATATAGAGTAATACTCCCTCCCTTCGATTCACGCCCATTAAGAAAATGCTAAATCCTATAGAGAAAACTTTTTAGGGATATGCACATAAGGGTAAAAGAGTAAAAACAAATTGAATTTTTTCTTGATTACCTAACTGGACACTTATTTTGAACCAAAATAAAAAAGTAAACTGGTCACTTATTGTGAACCGAAGGGAGTACTATTTAACTTATTTTTGTTTTCAGCTTTGATATTCATATTGGAGTCTCAACTAATCTGAATTCGCACTGTCTAAGACTTAGGAAAATAACCCTCTATGACTCTATCAGGTTATTTTTTCCGCTTTTGTACTGTTTGACTTTCCTGAAGTTTCAAAAATTTGTATGCTGATACGTTTAAAATGAATAAAATGTCAAGACGTACGTACCAACGTATGAGATATCTTGTAGAAATATAGTATATGTAGCAAATTATCATATTAATCACCTTAATGTGTTTTGAGACTGCAGGGCCGGCCGGGTCCTGTAGTTTAGGCCTAGAAGCAAATGTTTCGTTTTTCTTCAAGAAAATAGGTTATTACGGTTTACTTTTAATTAAGCACGTATTATGCTTTGATATTCCGGTAATAAACGTTGTCGTATTAATTTCACAACATTCTAGGACCTGCATTTTTAAATTTAAAACTTCCATCACCATAGCAGAAATTTGATCAAACATGGGCCATGGGCATAATTAATAGTCTTTCGTTGAAGAAGCCATGTGATGAGAGTATTTTAGTTGGTTGAAAAACGACCAAACATTAGACATGATATAGTTTTTCTTTTCTCATTTTGTTGTTTCTTAAAACAAACATTGCAATTAATTCGACCAAGTGATTAATGTTTCTAAGAAACTCTTAGATCATTTAAGAATATTGTGAGAGACATACCTTTGTTCTTCCTTTCCTGTAGCTGAGGATGGTTTGGGCCAATTCTGCACTGCTTCCACCTTCTTCGGATCCACCTTGATCCCTCACTTGATACTACGTGACCCAGAATGCCACAGAATCCAACCAGAACTCACATTTTGAGAACTTCGCATATAACTTCTTTTCTCTCAAAATCTGAAGCACTGTCCTCAGGTGCTGCTCATGAGCTTCCCGACTCCGGGAGTATACCAGAATGTCATCAATAAAGACAATGACGAACGAGTTAAGATATGGCAGGAATACACTGTGCATCAAATGCATAAATGTTGTTGGGGCATTGGTCATCCCAAATGACATAACAAGGAACTCGTAATGACCATACCGAATCCGGAAAGCAGTCTTTGGGATATCTCGCTCCTGAATCTTCAACTGATGATAACCTGAACGCAAGTCAATCTTAGAAAACACACGAGCACCCTGTAACTGATCAAAAAGGTCATCAATGCGAGGCAAAGGATACCGGTTCTTCACTATAACTTTGTTCAACTGACGGTAATCAATGCACATACACATAGAACCATCCTTCTTCTTCACAAACTGTGACGACCCAAAGGGTCATCACCTGTTTTCTTACCCATTCTGTACTTCCGAGGCCTTGAAAACCTCATTTAGGGTTGCCTCGATTTGCATGCGTAGTCCGGGCGCGTAGCCGGAAAGCTTAAATATGAATTCTGTGAGAAAAATACTAAATTTTGATATTAAATTGATTTAATTTGACTTCGGTCAACATTTTGGGCAAACGGATCCGGATCCGTGATTTGACGGTCCCGGAGGGTCCGTAGAAAAATATGGGACTTAGGTCCCAAGCCCGAGAAATGAATTTTTGTGTGAAATTGTTTTCTGGAAATGATTAAGGAAAATGAAAATGAAATTTGATTAAAAGACTGTGGTATCGGGCTCGTATTTTGGTTTCGGTTCCCGGTACAAGTCTTATATATGGTTTAAGCGCTTTCTGTAAAGTTTGGTTGAAATCGGACGTCGTATGACGTGTTTCGGACTTAAAATGGAAATTTGATGTTTTAAGAAAACTTGGAGGAAATTATGAACTTTGATGTTTAATTCGATGTATATGATGTTATTTTGGCGATTTGATCGCGCGAATAAGTCCGTAGGATGTTTTTGAGGTTGTGTGTATATTTGGTTTGGAGCTCCGAGGGCTCGGGTGAGTTTTGGATAGCCGTCAGAGTGCATTTTTAATTAAGGAAAAATCTGGTATGAACAGGCCTGCAGGCTTCGCATTTGCGAAGCCTGGTTCGCAAATGCGAACTCGCAAATGCGAAGGCTGGTTCGCAAATGCGAAACCAGCCCAGGCCTGACTATGATTGCAAATGCGAGTATATTCTTCGCAAATGCGAAGTTCCAAGTTTCGCAAATGCGAAGCAGAGGTCGCAGTTCCCATAATTTGGTCGGGGTTCACAATTGCGAACCCCAGTTCGCAAATGCGACATCAGAGACCCAGCAATTTTATACTTAGTCGAATTTTAAGTCATTTTTCACCCCACTTTCAAAATACAACTCCTTAGGCAATTTTTCAAGAACAATTTTCATCCCAAATCATTTGTAAGTCGATTTTTACTTAACTCTTTCAATCATTAACATCATTTAACATGTTTTCAACTTAAAATCAATGATTTTCATGGGAGAAATTGGGGGTTTTGGGTAGAACCTAGGTTTTCTATAAATTGGGGATTTGGACCTCAATTTGAGGTCCGATTTCAAAATAAATTACATATTTGAGTTCGTGGGGGAATGGGTAACCGGTTTTTGGTTCGAACCTCGGGTTTTGACCACGTGGGCCCAGGGGCGATTTTGGAACTTTTGGGGAAAAACTTGGGAAATTCATTTTTATGCATTCAAATTGATTCATTTAGTGTTTATTAAAGTAATTGAGCAAATTTGTGACTAGATTCGAGCGGATTGGAGGTGGAATCGCGGGGTAAAGCGATAGTTGAGGTTTGAGTGGAATTCAAGGCATCGAGGTAAGTGTTTGGTTTAACCCTAGCTTGAGGGATTAGGAGTTGAGTCATAATTGCTACTTGTTTGTGTTGGGTACGACGTATGGGCATGGTGACGAGTATCCATGCGTCGGTGTCAAGCATGACCGTGAGTCTTAATTTGATAATTGTGTACCCTTGTTTGATCCTATGAACGTTGTGATTAAATATTGGTATTAGTTGTGCCAGGAAAAAGTTGAATAGGATTGGTTATAGCTGACTCTCCCTTGTCGGGATGTTTGACTTGTTGTTATAGTTCCCTTGCCGGAACTGATTGGATTAACCAACCAAAGTTGGCTTCGGTCATTATTTATTGAACAGAAGCAAAAGCCTCAGTAACGGTCGGACGATAGTAAAAATTCATAGCAAACCCAGTAGCTACTTGTACTAAAAAACAAGTAAGCGTAATTCCCCCTAAACAATAAAATATATTGACGTGGGGAGGAACGTATTTACTAGTTATATCATCCGCAATTGCTTGAATCTCGAGACGTTCTTCGAACCAATCATATACTTTATTGAGATAGGCGTAACTCCCCCTCTGAGAACCGTATATGAGACTTTCATCTCGTACAGCTCAAGCAAAAACACCCAAATACTAGTTGCAACGGATATGGAATAGAAAGTTTTAAATTTATTAAGTTCTGATCCCATCTTCTCTGGAAAATCCGAAAGCTCTTCTTTGTGGCGATAATACCAAAATATCAAGTTGGCGCAGTCATCTTTATCTTTATTTTGATACTTATGGGCCTCTTGAATTCTCTTTTTCCCTATTTATTTCTAGAATTTCTTTTTGTGGAATATGGCTTTTATTATTTGTTTTCTTTATTATTGATAGGAATTCTCTTGTTAAGACCCTATGAATCGATTAAAACCTCAGATTCATACTAGAACCACGATGATTCAATAAAAAAACCTAACCTAAATCAAATCAAGGATTCCCTGAGTAAGAATCCTCGGATCATCACTTATTCCCTGAATAAATAGAATGACTAAAAATTCAAAGAAAGGTTTTGCTTTTGGTCAAAATATAAATAGGGGTTGAAAGAAAAGAATCTTTCGATTTAGAAATTAGAATTCTTTGTTTGAAAATTTTTTGGAGCCCGGACACGAGGCCTGAATATTAAGTATGAATCATAGTTCAAATATTTCTTAATATATTTCGTGTTCCAAATATTAGAATAAATATCTGACGAAGTAGAACCATCTCTATCAAGATGACAGACCCATTCTCTGTACTATCAATAGGATCAATTATAACAAGTCACACACTCATACTTCGGAAATACAGAAACAAAGAAATTCCACGATCGAACTACCAAAAGAAAATAGAATGGACTAGAAATCGGAGCTCTAAATGATTCATTTTGGACTCAAAAGC